TAATTACCACTCTTTTCTTTCCTCTCATTTCTCACATCCCATAATTTCATCTTTTTTTTTCTTCTTTTTTTTTCTTTTTTTTCTTTTTCTTTTAATAATAAAAAAATGATTCGATCAAACCCTATGTAGGTTGCCTACGTATCATGACGCCGCGTGAATCAGATCTTTGTGTAGTTCGGAAAGATCGGGAATAAACTAAACAAACTAACGTTCTCTTTATTTTTTTTACTTAATGATTACTCTGACGAGAAAAAGGAATTAAAAGAGGCAATTTTTTTTTGAATTTCCTAGACTTAATGTTCTACAAACTATCCTAAACTCAAGCTTAACGGGCATATATTTCTTTTTGAAACAAATACTCTATGGGAAATTATTAAGGAAAAAATTCTAGAAGAAAAAAATATTTTTTTAGGAAGAAAATCTAAAGAATAAACCAAAAAAATTATTTTGAATTTTCATTTGATATCGCTGAAGAAATATTTTGAAACGAGAAATGAACAAGATAAAAAAATATTTTTGGATTTCAGTTTTGGATTACCTAAGGAAGAAACTCTGAAGATAAACACAAGATGAAGTATGCTTTTTTTCTTCTATGTACAATATCCTAAAGTTCTAGTGAAAATAAAAAGAAAATATTTTTTTTATATATTTCCCAATGGATAACCTTAAGAAAAAATCTTTTTGGATTTTTGGAATTAATATCTTAAAGAAAACTTCTAAAGAGGTACTAAAAGAAAATTCTTTTTTTTTTTGAATTTTTTAATCTTAATATACTAAAGGAAATATAAAAGCAATTTTTATTTTGAGTTCTAGATATTAATTTCCTAAGGAAAACCACAAAAGATTTTTTTTGAACTTCTAGAGTTAGTATTCTAAAGAAAACATCTAACAGAAATATAAAAACACAATTTTTTTTGGATTTTTGATTTATTACACATCTTTTTTTCAATACAAAATAAGAAATACAATAACAAAAGACTCGACATTACTGTACAAAACTAGAAGGTAAAAGACGACATAAAAAGAAAAATAGACTCAAAACATAAAAAGAAAAATCTCCTTAAGCAACTCCTGAATGAGCGATCCTGACTGGATGGTCCTAGGGCGTCTGTCATGCTCAAACTCCGATAAGCAAATCCACACATGTATGAGAAAATTAAGACCAAATAAAGTTAAAGACCTAGAAAGCTATGTGAGATAATAACCCTTCCTGTTGGACATATTCAAGACATGATTGTGACTATTTTTCTAAAATTAACTTATGTGGCTAAAAGTGGCTAAAAATGCAAGATTTAGCTAAGACCCTGCGAAGCCAAGAACTTAAGACTCACTAGGAAGACCGGACCCTATGTGGGTTGCCTACGTATCCCGCCCCGAAAGACGAGAATCAGGTATGCGTAGTTCGGGCAGATTGGATACGGGCGAGAATTAGAAAAAAACAACTAATTTAGAGAAAAAATATTTTTTGTCTTTTTTTTTTTGAAAAATGATGAAACATGTAAACTCGTGTTGGAATTTCTTTTTCCTTTTTTTGGAACATGATGAAAAAGTGCAAATCTTTTTTGAATTTTTCATGTATTATTTTTTGTCTTTTTCTTTTAAAAAGAATGTGAAAGAAAAATATAACTGGGCCCTACTTGCTTTATTTTTACACTTCACCCTCTTTTCTTTCTCATTTACCCTCAGCCATCATTGGTCAGCCAAATGATCCTTTTACCCTTGAAGAAAGGCAACATGTGGCACATAGGATGCATCAGGATGATCTTTTATTTTTGGGTACATCTGTCCTAGATGGATCCAACCCCTGTGTTGAGTCCCCAAAGTCAAATGCATATGATGCAAACAAACGTTCCTAGTAGGGATCCAGTATGAGAGCATGTTATTCTAAGTTTAAACCTGGGATTGTGTTCTTGACCTTGCTTACCCGAGTGGACTACTCAAGCCGAAGAGGGGGCAACGTACCGGGAGCACGAAAGTCTACCCGGGCTTGTTGCTGGCCTAGCCTCGTTCTATTTGGTATAACTTCTAATAGAAAAAGTGTGACACACGAACGTGTGCACCATTTTTTTTGGAGACTCAGAAAGAAGGCGTAGGGAGACAGTTTAATATAGTTCAAATAATATGCAAGCGGTAAATAAACAACGTTTAACACATTAGGTCCACAAATACAATAATATGAACAATAAATAAAGCCAAGTAAAAATCATAAAAACAAGCTCGAATTCTTGATCCCTGAACCAGAAGTTTTGATTTTTTATCCCCAACAGAGTCGCCAGAGTTGTCACACCTCCTTTTTACTACCCCGAAAGGGGTATAAGGGAGCTTTTTCCAATTGAAGTGACAATCAAAACGGAATTAACTATTAGAAATTCAGAGTCGTCACTTGGGATAATTTATGCTGTCCCAAGTCACCAGTTTAAAATCCTAAAAAAGAAAAATTGACTCTTATTTATGGTCTGCGAACACAGAAATCTAGGTAAGGAATTCTGTTAATCCTAGAGAAAGTGTTAGGCATTCCCGGGTTCTGTGGTTTTAGCACGGTCGCTTTGATCATACTTGGCTTATTAAATTGCTTAATTACTCGTTTTGGAACCTATGTGCTTTCACCTCTTTTAATTAAGAAATTATCTTAAAACAGGTCACGCATACGTGTACCCATTTGTTTGGCGCGTCAAAAACCATGTCACACGTACGTGTCCACGATTAATAACGTTTTATTGTTATTAAAAAAGTTTGGCCGAAGTTACACGAACGCATACCTCGATTTTGTTTTTAGTATCGTAATTATGTCACGCGAATGTGTACACAATCACGATGATATATTAAATCGCGCCTAAAGCAAACTATCATGTTCATTAGTCATTTTCCTAAACTACTTTAATATTAATGGAAGGTCATGAATTATGGAATTATTTGTTATGGAAAAGGGTGCAAATTAGTTATTAGATTTATTAGCAAGTTCAATTATCTATACTAGGCTAGAAGGATTCAGATGGTCTATTAATTTATATGAGGGCGAACGGCACAAATAGCCACTAAAAGCAGTGACTTTTATTTTAAAGCCACTGTTTTCAATGTATTTAGACTTTAGCCACTCCTTTAAAAAACTTATACATGAATGGACGAAAATACTCTTATGGTATAACTTATACCTACGCTATCAACACAAGCAGTAGTTACACAAAGAGAAGAAACGAGCAGCAGCAGCAGTTACCACAGCGGCGATCAACTGAGGATTGATAAAGTTATAGACATCGCCTCCTATGATAATTCTGTATTCCGGACATAGTGCCTTCATTTTAGAAATTGAATTCAAAAAAAAAAAAAGAACACTATGTCCTTAACTTTGATTCTACTGGCCTCATTTTGCAAATTGAATAAAAAAACTTAAGGACAAAATGTCCTTCACTTTGTTGTGGTTCTTCTGTATACAAAGCCCTGTAGCTTGAGTTTCAAATTGTATGTTTTAATTTCTGGTTCAAATGTTAAGGACTGACAGTCCTTAACTTTTAAATACATGTTTAAATGTTAAGGACTAGCAGTCCTTAACTATTAATTCCATGTTTAAATGTTAAAGGACAGACAGTCCTTAGCTTTTAATTTCTTATTTAAAAGTTAAGGACTGTCAGTCCTTAACTTTTAATTCCATGTTTAAATGTTAAGGACTGACAGTCCTTAACTTTAATTACATGTTTAAATGTTAAAGGACAGGCAGTACTTAGCTTTTAATTTCTGGTTCAGAAGTTAAGGACTGACAGTCCTTAACTTTAATTCCATATTTAAATGTTAAGGACTGGTAGTCCTTAACTTTAATTATATGTTTAAATGTTAAAGGACAGACAATCCTTAGCTTTTAATTTCTGGTTAAAAAGTTAAGGACATGCAGTCCTTAAGTTTTAATTTCTTGTTCAAAAGTTAAGGACTGAAAGTCCTTAACTTTAATTCCATGTTTAAATGTTAAGGACTAGCAGTCCTTAACTATTAATTCCATGTTTAAATGTTAAGGACTAGCAGTCCTTAACTATTAATTCCATGTTTAAATGTTAAGGACTAGCAGTCCTTAACTATTAATTCCATGTTTAAATGTTAAGGACATACAGTCCTTATCTTGGTTTTTCACTTACAGTACACCTGTTCTTAATTCTACAAGGATTACTTTATAACGTATGTCCTTTGTTTCCCATTTTCTTGACTTGTACGATGGAAACAATATGCATAATAGTTGCTTTTAATTGTGGATGGATTGAACACTATAAATATCTTGAAACAGAACATAAATCATGAACTAGCAAATGAAAAAGTACCCAATGCCTCGAGTGCCACCAGTTACAAGAGCATTCATGCCATAAAGGGACCATCTATTCACTTTTCCACTACACTTAGTGGCAGTGGCAGTAGTTGTGAGTCGAACTGAACTGCAATTCATCCATGGGTTTATTATAAAGTTTTTGGGTTTTGAAAGTTGAAGTGCTTGAGAGAAGCAACAACAGTATGTGAAATGAAGAGGGGTTCCGACATTTTCTTTTAGAGAGAGAGAGAGACAAGGGATTGAGGGATTGATGTGCACAGATAAGGGATTGAGGGATTGATGCTGTTGACCAAGCATGGAGGAGGCCAACCATGAAATCACTTTGGGTATTCCAGATGAAAATGCAACGCGAAAGAGAGGAAGAAAGGGTAAAATTGTCTTTTTTCTATTAGTGGTGGCTATTTTTGCTGAGCATTATAATTAGTGGATAAAAATTAAAGACACCCTTAATTAGTGGCTACTACACGCCATTTTTACTTTATATGAAAGGGCTAGCTTCATGGCCCAAATCCGATTTTAAGAAAACCAACTCATGGTCCACTAATCTATTTCTTTTAGTCTTAATCCCACGGCCCATCCATTTATTCTGCCTTGAATACCTTCAACTAAAATGTTCAAATGCTAACAAACAATGAATGATTTAAATCAGTTTGTGCAAATTCCAAATAGAAACAGAAGGGAAAACGAAAAAAATCAAACGAAAAATCAATAAATCAAGAAAGAGCTCAAACATTCAATACATATTCATAGGGAAAGTCTCGCTAATTTCCTTGAGGCAACAGAAAACCATGAATTCAACAAACTTAAGCAATCTAACAACATCTCAATATTTACAACTCTATTTCAAATTAAGCGAGCAAATCAATTATAAAAGAATAGATAAGAGTCATCAGCTAAAATGCTAAACATTAACGAAAGAAACTATGAGATCATAGTTTATCTATGTTGACTAAAAAGCATAGAGCACATGAAATAATTCCAAACATCACTAATTATATGGCACCACGAAAATAAACGGACCTTTTATATATGAGAGTACAAAGATGGAAACTCGGTGAGAAATCTCGAGAAAACTGGACCGGGAACGGAGAACTCGCCAGCGACCTCGGGTAACAGAGCTTCGACCTCAGAAAACTTCACAAGATTGTTTCAAAGCTCAGCTAATAGACAAGGGCTCGAACAAAAAGCACGGCGGCACTAGAACCTCGCCGGCAACTCAAACGAAACTAGCAACCAATGAATAGAACTTTGACTGAACTCGATCTCAACAGAAAACGTTACCTTTTATGAGGAAAAGCGCTGTTATGAAGTGTTTTGGTGTTGGAGTTCGATTTTTGACTAGTGTTTGGTGGTTCGCCAGTTCTGTTGGTGCATGTGTGCGTGTGTCCGGCGTGAGGGGGATGGAGTTTTTCGCTGATGGCTTCTGCTACTTAAAGGGTTGGTCAAGAGTGAAGAAGTAGAAGTTCAGGGGGTGTTTTGAGGTTGAAGATGGTTTGTTCTTTGAAGGGTGGTTATGGAGGAGTGGTCATTGGGTGTCGAGGTCAAGAAGCAGCCGCTGGTTCTCTTTGGAGAGGAGTTAGCTCTTTTCGGCGAGTTCGTCGCTGGTTCAAGAAGGAGCGTCTGCGGCTGGAGAGGTCGTTCCCTTTGTTGTTCTCTAAGGTTCAGGTCTTCTTTTGGTTGAAGAAGAAGATGAGGGGTCGTTCCTTGTGAGGGTGACAGCTGTAGCTTGTTAGGTCTCTAGGTTTTAGGTTATCTCTCTTAGGGCCTAGGTCTAATGTGTATTGTGCTTTAGGTTAATTTAAGAAGAATAAGGGTCCAGATCTTGGGGGTTGGGTCAGGTCGACCCGGTCTGGGCTGGGTTGGAGGGAAAATTTGGACTTCTAAAATATTTGGCCCAATTGAATTTAAAAACCAGCCTTTTTCAATTTCCTTTTCCTTTTGTTTTCTTTTCTTTCTTTAATTAATTAAAAACCTAAATTAAATTCCTAAATTAATTCAAATTATAAAATTAAGCTAATTATCTAACTATAATATTTATAAAAATTAGTTGATCCTAAATTTAAAGAGAAAACATAATAATCCAAAATTAAAATCTAAGAATGTAAAAATGAACCATTTTTGTAATTTTTATTTTTTGTGATAAAATGAAGTAAAAGAGTTAAAATTAGTTGAAATAGCTATATTAGACCTAAACTAAATATTTAAATGCTAAAATATGTAAAATCTTGGGGAGGGTCAAAAATCACACGTCTACAATGGGTACAACCAAATACGAATGAACCCGGATGATCAGGAAAAAACCTCCTTCATCATTAAATACGGAACATACTGTTATAACGTGATGCCGTTTATACTAAAAAATGTCGGTGCTACTTATCAATGCCTAGTTAACCAAATGTTCGAGGAACAAATAGGAAAATCATGGAGGTTTACATCGACGATATGTTGGTTAAGTCCCTGTGAGCAGAGGACCATTTAAAACATTTACAGGAAACCTTCAACATATTGAAAAAGTATAATATGAAGTTGAACCCAAAGAAATTTGCGTTTGGAGTCGGATCAGGTAAGTTCCTCGAATTCATGGTATCTAACCGAGGAATTGAGATCAACCCCGACAAGATCAAAACCATCGAAGATATCACGGTTGTGGACAACGTGAAGGCCCTACTATTTACCGTAAAAATGGTATCAACTATTAAATTTGTAAATGGGATTCTAAAAATACGTGATCTATTTTTATGCTAGTTGTTAGAGCAGTTGATGCTGAGAGTATGAAGTTTAATGAAGAAATACAAGCTAAAATAGGGCAGTAATCAAACCAAGAGGCTTGCAGCCCGAGCCTCGGACTAGTCGATGAAAGAACTCGAGGTCGATATCTGGCTCGAGTTTGAGTTATCGGGGGTAATCGGGGATGGGATAATAGTTGAGATATGATCAAACAAGGCTCTTTATGGCCAATACAAAGCAATGAATGGAGAACAAATATGAAAGCAATAAACGCTAAGAGTGGCCTCGAGCTAGTAGGAACGAGTAAGCTAGAGAGGAGAAAGAGAGAGAGAGAGATAGATATTATTGATCTTGTGAAGAAAATAGATGGAGCAACATCCACCCTATACAAAGTAGTGTGGGTTCCCTTTATATAGGAGGGGAACCCGATTATAGTACAACATGCATTAGTTGTAAAGTATGGAGATGGGACGGCTAGACATGACGCTTCGACAGAGACCCCGAATAAGCTGGCTCTGTCAGACTAAGCCGCGTGCCTTGGGAATTTCCCCCTTTGCTCTAGCCTCGGTCTTCATCTTCTTTAAGTCAGGCCTTGACGAGCCCCGAGGGAGGGGACTCGGTCGCAATTTCATGTCCTCGTGGTCTCGAGGTATTCTTCCGAAGTGTCTTGACAGCGAGAAATCAAGTCCTCTGATGTTTTCGCATATAGATAGTCTCTACGTTTCCCAGAACAAAGCGATGGGAAATAATTCTAACACCTGATTCCACGAGCTTCTTACGGCAATGTCATACCAGTGATGCAACCTGTGGCGTGAGCTTTTTCGGCAACCGGGGTGTCCCATGGACTTGTGTATTTGATATCATTCAATGCACTGTCGATTCCCGCTCTCCAAAATGAATGCTCCGCCATCGATTCGGTTCTTCAAGAATGCAATAATTGCATTTGCCGGTCAATCTTCCAAAGCCTTGATGACCGTGTCGTTACCCCTATAAATGGGGGTGCTTTGGCGTTGTTTCTTCCATCCAAGTACCTTCGTTGGCTCATTTGCCCATTTCTTCTTATCATCATTCTCTTCCCTTGAACATTATGTTTGGGGCTCAGGGCCTTAAGGCCGTTCGCCAGAGCTCCTGTAGGCTGTGTTGTGGTGTTTTGAATGTTTTCCATTGTTGTTGACCGCTGACATCTAAGTTGGATGCGAGCGTTCTTTCCGATCCTCTACCGATTGACATGGCTTTTTTCCGAGCCCATCGTCATACCTCGGACCAAGCCTAAATTGATCTGATAGACTTGGGCTGTCGGGCCCTTCGAGTTGTATGGAGATAGCTGAGTTTTTGGAGCTTTTGAGAGTGGTATCCTGAGCGAAGGTCGGCTTCGGGTACCTGGGGGTCTGCTTTGAACTTGGTGTAGATAGCATTTTTAAGCGTAGTGGATAGACTTCTGTTGAGGGGTTGCCTATACTTAGGCGATGCCTCAAGACCTCCTAGAGCCTTCATGATCAGGGCTTCGCGTGCTTATTTTTCTTTTTAGAAAGAAAAACCATGAGATCGGGTGTCGCCTTGAGTTCTATGATGGCGTTGAGGCTTCCCGAAGCCTGACTTCTTTTTTGGCAGAGATCCTCGAGGTCGGGCACTACCTCAAGACTGGAGACGATACAGTTGACTCCTTGAGACCTAACTTCTTGTCGATGGATGCCTCTGGGGTCGGGTACCACCCCAGGATCTGTACCGAGGCCGCTGGCCTCCCGGGGCTTACTCTAGATAGGCGAATCGTTGTTGTTTCCCACATATATGTGGGGTGGCTTTCGCTTCTTTGGGAGATCTCATTATTTTGGATAGCTATTCCTCCGCCTTGGCATCGGGTCCTTCATCTCTTCAAGGACAAAAAGCATGTCGCACGTCCTTGCTTTAGTTTGTCAATTCTACCATAGCTATGGCAGCTACTTCGGGGCTAGGTCGGCAGGGAGGGGAGTATTCCATTCCCAGTGTTCAGGATCCATGGGAGTTCACTCTAAAGACTGTGTCTTTGATAAAATAGGAATATCTGGAGATAGTGATGAGATACTGCGGATGGAGTGAGGGGATAACGCTGCAGGTGCTTTCCCCGGAGGAGAGTATTATGGACTCTGGTTGGATTCTTGAGCATATACCTATATACTTTCGCATTTGACCCCCTTGATAGGGTCGTGCTTGATTTCTATTTGAAGTATCGGGTTACTTTGGCATAGATACATCCGTTGTTTTGGCGAGTGGTACGGATGATAAGGTTCTTTGCGGAGAAGGATGGGCTTGAATTCACGCTCAACCACCTCGTCAGGCTGTACCGGCCTTTTCATCACCGAGGCCTGTTAACCTTGCGGTGCCGCTCGTCCATGACCTTTGTTGTCGATGATGAAGAAGATGGGGATCAAGAGTGGGTCAGTCAATTCGTCCGGGTCTGAATGGCTGATGTTATACCTGTGGAGCTCATGTCGTTTCCCGAGGGATGGAATTACGCGCGTGAATGGAGTGTCTCGTGCTCCCTTGGATTTGCTTATAGCGAAAACCAGCTGAGTAACTGTGTCTCCTTCCTTTTTTTGCAGTAACTTCATGGACGCCGGATGAAGTTCTTGATCTGCTCGGCTGGGTTCGGAAGTTGGCGACCCATTCGACTTGCGATGAGTGTATGTGGCGAGCTATGTCCCGTGACAGATGGGAAGTAAAATACCGGGGTATGCGCGTATGCTGCTCCTACCTTGGTCCTCGTATATTTGAGATGACATTTCCATCTTTCTTTTGTACCGGCTTTGCCGTTGTAGGTATCGGGTGTTTCCTTAGGGCGAGGTTGTGTTCCTCCGGAGAGGGGAAAGAGTCGTTAGCCTCCGAGCTGAGGGATGCTGGCGATAAACGGGATTCGCACCCGTAGTGTGATGGAGCTTTTAATGGGGCTCAATGGGCCCGTGTCTTCGAGGAGAGGACATCGCCCGAGCCTGCTGTTCCCAGAGCGTCTGATTCCGGAATGGTGGTTCCTCTGAGTGAATATGCTTTGACCGAGGTTGGTTCTTCCAGGGCCAAAGGGGCAGGACCAACATGAGTGTGCTCTGCCTTCGAGGAAGTCTGCCGGCTTTACTTCATGGTGAGTTTCGGCGCAGTCCTTTTGTATTTTGCATCTTCCTTTCTTTATCGAGTCTTTCTTTTGCAGGCCTTTGATAGGCTTAGGTTTGAACAGCTCTGTCACGGGGCCATGCTTCAGAAAGCTCTGGATGAGGGTGAGTCCCTTAGGCTCCTTATCAAGGAGAAGGAGGTTGAGTTGATGCACTGGCGATATGAGGCGTATTGGAGCTCGAATTACGAGAGCTATTTGATGGAGCAAGTAATCTTCTGTAGTACGTGCTTCGCTATTTTTTACCCTTAAGGTTAATCCCTTTGCCTATCTCAGCTACAAAAAAAGACGGAGGCTTTGGAGTACCTTACAGGCAAAGCCGACCGCATCAGGAATGCTTGCGGTGAATTGAGGGCTCAGGTGCAAGCTCAAGCTTTAGAGGAGATGGGCGCCTTGGCCAAGGTTCCCAACTTCGAGGCCCAACTTCGCTTGGCTCGTGACAATGTTACAGTTCAAGCGGATATGATCGTGAAGCTCGAGTCCGATCTCTCGAAGGTCAGGGCTGAGATAATCGATGCCCGGGCTGAAGCAGCATTAAGTCAAACCAAGGCTGATCAGGAGATGTCGATTCATATGAAGGGCGCTGCCGATGCCCAAGCCGAGTTGAAGCGGGCCCTCGATTGTGAGAAGAGGATCGAGGAATATGTTCGTTGCAGATACCGATGAGAGGTACTCGAGGAGATCGGCGCAAGGGGCTTCGTTCTCTCGGAGGAGTTGGCTCGAGCAAGGGCAGACGAGCGCGATGCTCGGTCACTTCTTGCTGACATCATAGAGAGCGAATCTGGGGTTGGCAGGCTATAACTTTTGGAGCGGAGCATAGATTTCACCATTTTCCATTTTGTATTTGATATTTGCAGAGCATGTTTGTAGATTGAGAGCGCGCC